TTCTTCGGTTTTGCCTGTGGTGTCATTGGACAAGCGGAGAAGGATTGTAGCATGGTCTGGTGTCGGAGGAGAGCAAAAAAGCAAAACTAGGATAGAGACGGTGGCTTCTTGCTTCTCCCAGAAAAGGCAGAGAGAAAGAAGTGGAAGAATTACAAGTAGTGATCTCGACTCGTAAGCAATTATTTGTTACGAAGGAAACGGAAGTAGGGGAGAAGGAGCATGAGGATGATCGTAGTGTGTTGGAGGTGGGATTAGGAGGTGATAGGAAGCAATTGGGTACTGAGCAGCAGCTAGGTATAGAGAAGTTGTCTATTAAGGGGCAAGTGGTGAGGGGATGAGAGAAGGGTTATGATGGGGGTCAAAACTTTGACAAAGGGGCGAGTGATGAGGGGGTTTGTGAGAATGCAGGGGAGAAAGGGGAAGTGGGAGATAAAATTGATAGTGGGGAAAATAAGGGAGGTGCGACAGTGGAATGTAGGAAGTGGAGAAAAGTGACCAGAGAGGTTGATAATTTTGATACTAACATGAGCTTAGGGGATAATGTTGTTTTGGGGAAGCATGGAAGGTAGATGGAATTTTGTGGTGATGTAGGGGCTCTTGGGTAGAAGAAGCAATTAATTTTTTTTATGATAATTCCGGATTGTTGGTGGCGGCGGCTGTGAACAAGCAGCCCCGCCAAGCTTAATGAGTGTATTAAGCATTAACTCGCAGAGGTCTGGGCAATACATCTGCAGTTAATAATCTCTGGAACTTGATCCGGAGAGAGGCCTTGTCTCTCTTATTTTTCTTATGAAGACAAAATTGAGTAGCAGTGAGATGAATAAAATTCGGAGAAAATTTGTGGGTTATGATGGCCTTGCAGTTGATAGTTGTGGGAGGTCGGGTGGGATTGCTCTTTTATGGCTTAAGGATATCGAGGTGCATTTACAATCTATGTCAGTGCATCATGTTAATGTTATGATTAAGAAGAGGATGGGTGATGTAGAGTGGAGGTTGACTGGTTTTATGGGTGGCCAAAGGTGTAAAATAGACACTTGTTGTGGAAGCTCCTTGGTGAGTTAGCGGGGAGAGGGAAAGAGGCTTGGGTGTGTATCGGTGATTTTTATGAAATTTTGTTTGAATCGGAAAAGAAGGGTGGGAATGATAGAGATTTGTGGCAAATGGAAAACTTTAGAGAAGCGCTTGATGTGTGTAACTTGTGTGATGTGCCGTATGTAGGCTATGTGTTTACATTCGACAATGGTCAAGCAGGGGTGGATAATGTGCAGTGCTGTCTTAATAGAGCATTGGCTAATTCGAGGTGGTTGGAGAGTTTTCCGAAGGCTAAACTACACAATTTAGAGCGTGACTGGTCTGATCACGCGCCTATCAAACTCACTTTGGAGGAGAGGGGTGATACGGTAGGAGGGAAGGAAAAGGTGTTCAGGTTCGAGCAAATATGGACAGAACATGAAAAGTGTGAAGAGGTTGTAGAATTTTTGTGGATAGTGGTTGGAGTTTGGTGGAGTCGAAGTTGACATTTTGTGCAGCAGAGCTGAAGTTTTGGAGCAATAATAAGGAATTTTGCTATGTTTTTAAAGAAATCAGAAAGAAAAAAGAAAGAGATTGGAAGTGCTAAATATAGGTGGTAGGAGTCAAAATCAGGTCAAGGAGAGGAAAAGAGTAATTAAGGAGCTTAATGATCTCCTTCACTATGAAGAACTTTATTGGAGGCAGCGATCCCGAGTATTGTGGCTGACTTCAGGTGAAAAATACTCAAAAAAATTTCCCGTAAGGCTTCTTAAAGAAGGCAGAAAAATATGATTGTTCAGTTGGAAGAGGAAGATGGCATTTTACATAATGACTTGGAGGGTGTATATCGAGTGGCTGTGAGCTATTTCCAGAATTTATTCACCTCTTCTAAGCCGACAAAAATGGCAGTAGCTTTGGAGGGTATTGAGCAAAAGGTGAACGGCGACATGAACGCGAGTTTGTATTCTCCTTTTACTTTAAATTGAAAGGAATGATGTCCTTCGAACAAGCGTATCATTCCGATAGAGGGTTCGGAATTTATTAGGAAATCTAATTATTCAGTGAGGTCAAGTGATCGGAATGCATAGCTGGAGGCCGCTTCCGATCAGTAATATTAATGTATAATTAATATTACAACTTACTCTTGACTGAACCCTATGGGTCACACCCAATTGTGTAACCAAACCAAAGCGACGAATTAATCCAAAGGATTAAATGATTCGATAGAGATTTTACGAACTAAGACGTCAGAGTCTGAGCTTAGAGCGTCGAAGCCGAGCGTCGTAAGTCAAGTCGAATTTAAGAATCGACGAGACAGAAAAATCAGTCAAACAACAAGTAAACGTGCACCAAAGCCCTAGCCTCGTATAATGGCTTAGCCATGCAAAGGCAAGGTGGGATAGGATGCCTAGCCGAGCTGCTACCGTATAGCGCATGCTTGGCCGCAAGCCCATCAAGCATCGCATCTCTTGGCTGGGCGTGTGGTGCCGAGTTAGCACATGAGCGCTAGCAACAGGCCTCGCAAGTGAGAGCAGCGCCCAGCGCTAGCAGCCCGTGTATTCTAGCGTGGGTTGTGCTACTGCTTGGGCCGAGGACACACACAAGCAAGCTGGCAAGCCAAGCCGAGCACCAGGCCACCAGCAAGGCTTGCCTTGGTGCCCAAGGCTAGGCGCCAGCTGGTGCACTGTGAGTAGTGCCGGTTTGTGAGTGGCGGTTTTCTTGGGAGCAAGGGGAAGGTAAGGTGGTCTTCCCCTTGTAGTCCTCATCTAACCCTTTGCTCTCCTTGTGACACTTGTTGTTTGATGATTGCCTTGCCATTTTAATTTAATTTAGAATTAAATTAATTCTTTCTTTTGGCATTTTACCAACTATCCCACATTGAAAGATGATGGGAATTCTTGCGAACATTTCCCTATAAATACCAATAATTGGAAATTGGGAACTTCACTTGAGTTGGTGAACTCTAAGGGATCTCCAAAAGCGAGAAAACCTTAGTTCGTAAACTCTAAGTTAATTTTGGTCTAGCCCCGTCTAAGCCACGGGGTAGAGGCCAGTTCTGGTTCGGTGAACGAGGGTGTGAGCCGTTGGAGGTTTTGCACCTCCAGAGCTTGAAGCTTTCAAGTCCGAGCTCATTGAGTGAGCGAAGCACGCGTCTAGGGTGAGTTTCTTTTTATCTCTTCTCTTTATGTGTTCGTGTTTTATTCATTTGCATGCTTTTGTTTATGTTGTAATCATTATGCATGTGATCTGGTTTTAGGATTTTGTTTTCGCGCGGTGTCAGACACTGCAAAACCAACAGCGGTATAAGAGTCTCTTGCATTTAATTTTTACAACTAAAAATTAATTGAGGTGATTTAAATGGATTTAAATTTCTGGTTAAGCATCCTAATTAGATTAGGACCTCATTTTTAATTAGATTAAAATCGTATTTATGTTAATTTTGGCCTACGAACCCCGATTTCGACTCAAAAATAGTGACTTTTGGGTGGAATCGACGTTCTAAATCATTATTTAACCTCAAAGTGTTAAAAACGACCTTTTAGAAGCCAAAATCCACCCAGAAAGTGGTTTTTCGTGGGGTTTTTCGTTTGAAACAAAATTTTTTAAATCTTTAAACCTTGATTAATTATGGCATGCAATTGTTGGATTATGTCTTTGATTATACCATTAATCTTCTGAAATTTTAACCCTTATTAAACATGTTTATGAAGTCATATTGGTGCTTCATTTGGTGGGCTCTTAATTTCACGTAAACTTAAAATTTCACATTTTTGCAAATTAATTAATTGCTTGGAGTGTGAAAGTTTATGGTGAATATGATTCTTGAAGCCCCTAAAATGTTAAAGATTCAATCTTTAATTGTTTATTTGGTTGGATCGTAACTTGTTAAAGTCCATAATGAACTAATTTTTGGTTTTAATCATTTTAAGTTGATTAAAATCTTAAATGTTCATACTTGTGCTTGAAATTCTATTGTTTTTCATATTGGAAGATTACAATATTCAAATGTGCATAAGTGTTAGATAAATTATTTCATTGGATGATTGGTTATTTATTCAACTATTTTGTCAAATCTCATTGTTAATTTATATTGGTTAAATAATTGTGAGAACAACCCTAATTTTATTAGCATCAAGTTGAGCCAAAAATAATTTAAAGAATGGTTCTTGAATTAATTTTGGTTTTTGCACTAAAATTGAATTTGATTAAGTTGGACTTGTTTTATTTTCAATATTGCTCAATATTAATTCTAAAATGAATTTAGAATTAATTTTAAAGTCACACAAAAAAAAAATCAGAATAAAATTCCGAGGCATGAGCATGTGTAAAATAGGAAAGGAAGTTTGGTGTGGCGTGATAAATCACTGCATTTGAAAACGAATTCCGGCGCAACCGGGGTGCTCAGTTGTATTCGCCGGATCCTCCCCTAAGATTACACACCACTCTCACACTAAGACACTTTAGAGTGAGAGGTGGAGTCTATGGAAACTTATGCCCAAAGAAATGGAATTGTGTTTAGCTTAATATGTTTTGCTTCTTGTGTTTGATGTATTTTTCTCAAGTACATATAATCAGAAAATCAACCTTCAATATATAAAGAAGAAAGGAGGAAGACGGAAGATCATGGAGAAGTCAAAGGGATGAAAAATCAGGAAAAGTTTGGTGAGTTAATCACCATAAAACACCTCTTTTGTGGGGGGTTACAAGAACTCAAACCAAAAGAAGAATCCAAGGAAACGGTTGGAATCCAACGTCCCCTCGCGCCCGGTCGGGTGGAGCTCGCCCGGTCGGGCGATGAAACTTCAGATTTCACGATTACTCTCACGCCCGGTCGGGCACTCGGATCAAACTACCTTGAATTTCCTTCCTTTATTCCAACAGTGAGTACTCAGTTTGCTCGGCATATAGAGCTATATTTGGTGACAGTGAGATGGACAATGTTGCGTCGTCGTCATGTGCTTCGTCTTTTTGGAACAAGGTATGGAGTGTTGACACTCTCCCAAGGATTAAAATCTTCTTTTGGAGGGCCTGTAAGGGTGTGCTGCCAACATCCTTGGGTTTGAGCAAGCGAATTCCATGCAAAGATGCATTGTGTGGAGTGTGTGGGGTGATGGATGAATCGGAGCTACACTGTCTGCGTGACTGTGTTATAGCTCGTATGATATGGGATAAATGTGAATTGGGGGAGGAGGTGAGAGGAGGTTGCAACAACTTTGGGGAATAGGCAGTGAATTGTTTCGAATGCCTTCCTCGTGAGGAGCATGGGTTATTTGCATCTATGAAATAACGTGATAATGAATGTTAGTTTTGTTTAAAAATTGAACATTTTATGTTGTTGTGAGTTTTTTTTTTTTTTTTTTTTTTAAAAAAAAAATAAAATATTTTAGTCTAGGATTTTACAAATATTACATTTTAAACATAAAATTCACTATTTCTACAATCGAAAATACTCCTTTTGCCATTAGGTCCAAAGTAAATGATGATCAGCTATTAGGCATTGATATTACATAGTACATCATTACCGGTTTTACAATAGAAATTGCTACAAAATATTTTTAATCCAAAGGAGCCAGAAGTCAAAACAAAGTCACACATTTGAGAGATCTGAGCTGATGTCAAAGCTCAAGTCACCCTCTCTTCAACTAATCAATAGACAACCTTTAATTGCATTATTCTCTCTCTTTTTTTTTTTTTTAAGGGAGTATCAGTTCCTCATTATAAAAATGTTTCTCATAATGACATTTTTGAAAATAATGTAATATTTTTCATTGGTGGAGACCGCGTATGTGTCATGAATGGGAGCCACAAATCTTGACACATACCTCTCACGATGAGAAATAGAGAATTATCCTTTTTTTTTTTATATACCATTTTTCTCTATGAAATAACGTGGCAACCGCTGATTAGTTCTTGTTTGTGCGGCTCGATTTGTCATATGAATGCAAATTTCGGTACTCCCCCATCACTGTGATCCGTGACAGTGCAGTATCTTAATTCGTCAATTATTGAATAAATAATAAAAAATCACATAAGATAACAAAAATACACACAACTACGGACTACCTACTACAATTTGTAAAATTTACATAATTGGGTGTAACTTGTATGCTTATTGCTTACAATTACATTACAAAATCCATATTTGTTACAATAGTTCAAAAGTTTAATTTCGAAAAGGGTGAGGTCGGCTACATGAACCATGATTACCTATCGTGGGTTGTCTAAGTAGTACAAAATTCATACCCCATTTACAAGATTGATGAAAGATTTGATCTTTTTAAGTTGATTCTCAGGTAATTTGAATTTTGATATATTTTTTTGTTGAGAAATTTGATGAAATAAAAATGGGAGGAGATTTGATTGAAGAGAGTAGTAGTTTGACATGGGTTGGAAGTGGTGGGAGTGGAACTTCAAGTTGGGTTGATGACTTGATGGAAGTGAAGTGAGTTCAGAAGAAATGCCAAATTGGTCAAAAATGGATGAAAATGAATTTAGGAATAGATATGGTTCTTCTTCTGGGTCTGTGAAAAGAAGGCTTGTGAAAAGGCCTAAAAGAGTTAATTCTTTAGATGTTGAAGCTATGCAGATTGCTGAAGCTCATGCTCATCACACTAAGGTTTTGTTTCTTTTTCCCTATGGTTTAATTTTGTCGTGTCATATCGATTTTGCTATATGTAGTGCTAAGGGCAAAGTATAAGCATTAAATATATTTCCGACAATAGTACTTCATACAGGATTGATTTAGATGTTTAATGTCTTTATTATTGCAATTGTTGTCAGAGTTAAAAAATTCAAGTAATTCATTAATCAAGGGTGTTGAGATTTCTGGGAATTTCAGACAAGTGAGGGATGAAATGTGCATAAGAATAGGGGTGTGATTGTGGTTGTGCTTTAAGCCACATTTAATTTTATGATTAAACTATGTGACACTTTTGAGATCATATATTTCTTGTGGTAGTATTATATTTGATCACTGTACCATGATATTCTCATAATGATTTATTTTTTTTTTTTTTGGTGAAATTTTGGAAATTATTAAAGGAATGCATTTACCATAAATCTGCATCATATCATCGATTGATTTCAATTAACCTATTTTCAAAGTTAGCGAAGTTTTAATCACCAAATCAAATGTGGCATATTAATGTCTTTGATAAGGCATCTGACAGATGGAATTATGTCTCAAATCGTTTATGTTTGCTGCTCTGAATTTTGTGATGAGATAATCAATTAATCATCATATTGTCTGATTCACAGAAAAACTAGGAATGAATATTGTATGAAGTTTTGTTCTGCATTCCAATGCTAATACAATATCAGATTGAGCTCTTAGTCTTTTCCTCTGGGATTTTTTATTAGCTTCCCATGGACGAAATTTTGGCAAACTACTTTAAAAAAGTTGTTTGTGTTATTGAGTACAAATCAATTATTGTGCAGGAACTATCTACATGGCATACTCTTTCATTGGCATTCCAAACTCTTGGTGTGGTGTATGGCGACGTGGGCACAAGTCCTTTATATGTCTTCACTGACGTGTTTAGCAAGGTGCCTATAACATCAGAAGTTGATATTCTGGGAGCTCTGTCTGTAATAATGTATACGATAGCCCTTGTGCCCTTGGCAAAATATGTATTTGTAGTGCTTAAAGCTAATGATAACGGGGAAGGTACATGAATGATTTTCCAACTTTCTTTTCGCCTTATGTGCTTTATCATGAGTTATTTTGCATCTAAAAATAATAGGCTACTTTTGGCTGCAGGAGGGACATTTGCCCTGTATTCTCTTATAAGCAGGTACGCCAAAGTGAATAAGCTTCCAAATCAACAACAAGCCGACCAACAGATCTCTAGCTATAGGCTCAAACTACCCACTCCGGAACTTGAAAGGGCTTTAAACATTAAAGAGATTTTGGAAAGGAAAGCTTTCATGAAAACCCTTCTACTGTTTTTGGTTCTTACAGGAACTTCGTTGATTATAGGGGACGGTATCCTGACTCCGGCTATGTCAGGTATGTAATTTTTTTCAAATGAGCACATCTATTTAAAAATAGAGTATGCGTGGGCTACTCAATATTCTCTCTTTCTTTAACAGAGATTATAGTAATTGTGGAATTGCTACTCAATAAACATCAAACTTCCATAGATAAAGTTCAACAATATTAACTGAATAAGTTACAAATAATTGCTTTGTGAGCACTTCCTTTCTGTGTTCTTAGCCTTTTTCGAGTTGGCTGTGCTCAAACTTGTCCAATATCTTATAGGATATAGTTTTATCTGACCACTTTAGAGCAATATTAAAAAAAAAATAATAAAAAAAAAAGCATAGGAAAGCTTTATATTCACGTAGCCACTTCTTTACGAGCCCAGGCAATTGCTTGCCTCTGCATCGCCAGCTCTTACATGATGACAATTGTTGTAGTCCTTTAAGGTTCTGCATACAATGAACTTCATGAAAATAAGTGCTAGAATTACATATAGACTATGCATGCTTTCTTGTTAATTAGCTTTCTAATGTTTCCTCACATTCTCATTTAATTTACTGTTTTCCTTGTGCAGTTATGTCAGCTGTTAGTGGTTTGCAGGGCGAGATAAAGGGATTTGGTCCTAGTAAGTATATTCACCCCTTATGCAAACACAGTAGTTTAATTTTAATCAAACATCTTAGAAGCAGGTGGGTTTATGGTTTTTATCTATGAACAAACAAGCAAACACATGATCAAAGGAGTAACTTGATTATTTCAAGTGTTGATTGATCTGTGCATATCTAAACACTTCAACCCTGTTATCATTTTTATTATACAGAATGTAAAATGCAAGTATTTCTTGGTCTTTTAGATGGGCTTCTGTAATTATAAATGTCATTGAATGCTTTAAGCATGGGACTGAAGATTTGTTATGTTGTTTTGACAGATGCTGTAGTCATTGTTTCGATGATCATCCTGGTTGGATTATTCAGCATACAGCAATTTGGGACCAGCAAAGTTGGCTTTTCATTTGCTCCTGCCCTGTCATTGTGGTTCTTATCTTTGGCGACTATTGGAATCTACAACCTCCTCAAACATGATATTACTGTCCTGAGGGCCCTGAATCCAGCTTACATATACCTTTTCTTTAGGAAGAACGGCGTTCAAGCATGGTCTTCACTTGGCGGCTGTGTTTTGTGCATCACAGGTATTTTGTGCCCTACCTCGAGTTGTGGTTCCTTCAGCCTTTTATGCAGTGAAATTTCAGCACATTAGGCCTTAAATTTAGCTTTAAAAACCATTCAATCTTGACTTTTTTATCAAAGCAAACTGTTGTTATTTGCTGTAGCATAATTCCTCATAATCATTGCTCTACATAATCAGCATAAGACATTCCCATTTTCTTGGGCTGTTGCAAGTCTTGCAACTATTTCTCCTGTTCATATCTTACTAGCATACGTTGCTGAAAGCCCAAAATCACATATTATCCTTGTACAGTTGTAGCTATGCTATCAGTGTAATTTGTGAACTATGTGATTACAGGAGCTGAAGCAATGTTTGCTGATCTAGGCCACTTCTCCGTACGATCTGTTCAGGCAGGTCTTTCTAGCGTATAGTACTTCTAAGTTCCATCACTGGCTCACTACTTTTGTTTATTTATAATGAATGATGGAACTTTCAGATTGCATTTACTTCTGTTGTGTTCCCCTGCCTTCTGCTGGCTTACATGGGCCAAGCGGCATTTTTGATGAGATTTCCAGCCTCAGCTGAGCGAGTATTCTATGATAGTGTGCCAGGTGAACCTTTAAGAAAACTTACTTCTCTATCGTCTTATATCATATGAGCTTTTTGCTGACACTTCTACAAAACTTTCTGGTGACTAGATGGATTTTTCAGGCCAGTCTTTGTGATTGCTACACTTGCTGCCGTTATTTCCAGTCAGGCTATGATATCTGCTACCTTTTCGGTCATAAAGCAGGCCATGGCTCTGGGATGTTTCCCTAGGCTGAAGGTAATTCACACCTCGAAGAAGCTGATGGGTCAGATATATATCCCTGCATCAACTGGTTTCTGATGGTAATGTGCCTTATAGTGGTTGCGACTTTCAGAAATACCACGGACATTGCAAATGCATATGGTAAGGAACCTCTTTTTGAACGTTTTCCAATCCCTCTATTACTCCTACAAAGTTTACTTATGAATCACTTAAGCATTTTAAGTATTAGTTTAATTCAATATGCATGACACGACTGTTGAAGAAAGATCTCAAATGGCGTAACCAATGTTATTTCAGGAATTGCTGAAGTTGGAGTCATGCTAGTCAGTACTGCCTTGGTGACACTAGTCATGCTTTTGATCTGGCAAACTAACATATTCCTAGCTCTCGCTTTCCCTATTGTATTTGGGACAATTGAGCTCATTTATTTATCGGCAGTCCTATCAAAACTCTTGGAGGGTGGTTGGCTTCCTTTAGCCTTTGCTGGGTGTTTCTTACTAGTAATGTACACCTGGAACTATGGAAGTGTCCTAAAGTATCAGAGCGAGGTCAGGGATAAAATTTCTATAGATTTCATACATGATCTCGGATCTACTCTTGGAACTGTAAGAGTTCCGGGAATTGGATTACTCTACAATGAGCTAGTTTATGGCATTCCTTCCATTCTAGGGCAGTTTCTTCTAAGCCTTCCTGCCATTCACTCTACCATTATCTTTGTTAGCATCAAATATGTTCCGGTACCTGTAGTACCTCAAGAAGAACGATTTCTCTTTAGAAGGATTTGCCCTAGGGACTACCATATGTTCCGTTGTGTTGCTCGTTATGGTTACAAAGATGTACGAAAGGAAGACCATCATTCATTTGAACATCTTCTAATTGAAAGTCTGAAAAAATTTCTGCACAATGAGGCCCGAGATCTTTCTCTTGAGGCCAACATGAATGAACTGGATATGGACAGTGCTTCAGTGAGATCAGCAGATGCAGTAGACCCTGATGATGAGCTGCGAGTCCCATTGATGCATGATCAACGAACAGGAGAGTCAGGACAGCCATTGAAGTCAGAAGACACCGAGGAGTTGCCATCGAGTGTTATGTCAACAGAGGAGGATCCAAGCTTAGAGTACGAATTATCTGCTCTTCGAGAGGCTGTTGATTCAGGTTTCACATATCTGCTAGGAGATGCAGATGTCAGAGCAAAGAAAGAATCTTGGTTCCTTAAGAAGTTGGCCATCAACTACTTCTATGCTTTCCTGAGAAAAAATTGCCGGAGGGGCGCTGCTGTACTGAGAGTTCCACACATGAATATCATAGAAGTTGGAATTACATACATGGTTTAATTTCATGGCAAATTTACCACATAAAGATGTGGGCTTCTTGAGGTTAATCGTTTATGGATTGGCCTTCAAGCATGTTATAGTAATATAAATGTGTTTTATTATTTAATTCAAAGGATCTTTGTTTTGTAAAATTAATTTATAATATGGTTGATTTATATCAATGAGGTCTCGACCTAGAGGTTAAGACTGAGGACCTATGTTCGATAAGTTACTAGTTCAAATCCCTAAGGATCTTTCTCAAATATATAGCAAAATGGGTATCTATTTATAACAACGGCACAAGGAAATCTCTATGCTCAATCGCAATCTCAACCTACTAGTAGTCTGATGTTTTGCTTATCTCTTTACGGCTTCTCACTCATGCACTACCTTTGAGTCTTTAGGTCAGATTGCCCATATTTTGTTCATCATTTTATCATACTCGATATTAATACGTATATAAAGAGATGATCTTAAGGATGTTCTTTATTCTAAAGGTACAAATTCATTGTCTGTGGCTTTTGTTACGCCACTTAACATCATGTTTTCTTTTAGAAATGATGTTCATGAATATGACATTTGTGATTGCGTTGAGGGTCCAATCTCAATGGTCCCTTAATATATACAATTGCCGACAACAAAATTGTCTAACGAACCTTCATTCTTAACACCAAAACTAAAGGGATTTTGATGTGGGCATTGTCACAAATCGTTTCGATTGTCCATCCTATGTATAAATTACACCTTTCATATATCCTCATTTTACATTTCTTCCGAGTGTAAAATGGAAATTGTAATAATACATGCCACTCCTTAATTTCAAGATTAGTTAATATCATATGTGGGATTACCTTAGTGGTTTTACTAATACTTTAAGGTGAGAATTTACACTCATCAGTTGGGAAATAATGTTTTCTCGCTTATTTTAAAGAAAAATAATAGCAGTCTCACTCTCACCATGTAAAAAAGATATTAGGTATACTACTTGCGTTCCAAAATAATGAACACGATCAAACTTAACACACTCGTCAATATACTAATCACCCTAAATATATATAATTAATATTAATATAAATTTATAAAAAAAAAATTGATAAATTAAACTTTATTTTAATATCTTTTTAACAACATTTTATATGACATTATTTGCGTACGAAGTACATAATAAAAAAAAACAAATAAATAAATAAAAAATTATAGTTAATGTTATTATATGATAAATCATGTCAATTATTCTAAAAAAGTTAAAATATAATAAATTATGTCAATTATTCTAAAATTAAAGGAGCTGTATATTTGCATGACCCTTTTTTTTCTATTGAACGGGAGGTAGTGAGGTATGACATATTGAGATAAGTGAAGAGGTTTTGGTCCTTTATTTAGGAGTTATCCATCAATAAAAAGCCTTTTGCAACCTTTTATGGATCTTAAAACTTTAACTTTTGACCTTTTTAGGCCTAGATCAACTTATTTCTTGTAAGGAACGTTGAAAAAATTATTAATGGAAGCTAAGGTTGAGTCCCAATATTAATGCTCTATAAATTGAATGTATGCAAATTATATTATAAGACAGACGATGTTATATCGTAAGATGAAAAGATATTACAAGTACTTTATTATTATTCAGTAAAAAAATAACTCATAAATTTTGCTAATTTTTAGTGCCATATTTATCTTACCATACATGTAATACAACCACCTCATGTACAAATTACAAACTTAAAATAATAAAGTTATTTTTCTAAAAATAATCATATTGAAGTAAAAAAGTTATAAACTTTCAACAAAGCCGGTTTAGTACACTTTTGCTTTTGCATGTAAATATCTCTTTGTTGAAAGCCCAAAAGAAAGGCCAAAACCCTCAACCTAAGGGAAGAAAGTTGGGCTGGACCATATCTGAAATTTGTACTTTTCAACTTTTTTTTATTTATTTCATATGTTTTGTAAATGAATAAATAAATTCAAAGCAAGAAACAAACATTCTTGTAAATAAACTAGCACTGTAATATGTAGAGTCTTTATCTAAACAGCTGTAAATGGCCAGCCAGCCCCTTCACAATCTCTAGAATAATTACTTGTAGATATTGCAAAAGTGGCCCAACTTTTAAAGTAAAAAAAAAAAAAATTAAAAAAAAAAAAAAAAAAAGGTGCTTGTAAGATATTGATGCTATTACCCCAAAAATATAGGACAACTTAACAATTACACATGTCAAGCATTTTTATTCTAAGTCCACTTCGTCTTTTTAAAATCTAGGCTGATTTGATATGGTCTAATCTAATACTCTGTATAAAATATACCTTAGTCTAAATTACTAATTTTATGTGTTAATTTGTTGTATCGCATTAGTCCCATTGGAGATAGATATAATATGAATTTGGTTGGTGAATAGATAGAGGAGTTGAAATTATTCATGCCTCATATCCAATTGCCCTAAATTCACTTGCCTAATCCGTATTTTCTTGTCTACTCATTCCTTGCTCGATTTGTATCACAAGTTCACAACAATTTAAAATATCATAAAAATAAAGTAAAATAAAGCTCTGATATCATAAGCGAATAATATACATGCAGTGAAAATCATTTGGACAATGAAGCGAACATGAATTTAAGTTTATCCGCCCTTCATATTATTGAAGAATTTGGATATTTATTATTTCATTTTATTATGATGATAGAATATGCTTTGAATAGTATGGATACACATACGAGTGCTGGATAAAAATAGAAATAAGAGTAGTTAGGAAGGTCAGAATTCCAATTATCTAAAATCGACCGCGTAATACACAACATTTCGTCATGGTGTGCAAACATACAAAGTAAAATGAGCAACAGTCACATCATCAAGAATTTTGATAACGACTTTCATGGGGACATTGGACGTTCAAAAATTAGGTAAAGGCCTTTTTACGTGCAATTTTGGGTAGGGCTGAGCAAAATTATCCGAAAAACCGAAAATCCGAAAATTCGAACCGTAACCGAACCGAAAATTAGGGTACTCGTTCCGATAACTATAACGGTTCGGGTACCCGATCCGATAATTTGTTATCGGGTACGGTTATCGGGTATCATTTTAAAATTAACGGTTACCCGATCCGTTCCGATAAGCAATTTTTTCTTTTTTTTCGTACTTAAATCTATTTATTCAAAATCTAAACAATTATTTTACTTCGTAATCACTTCATAATTTAAATGATTAGTAATTATTAGTAATTTGATCATGATCATGTGGTGTTATTGCTAATTAGTGTTGAATGATATCATAATAACTATATTATAAAGTCTAAATTTTTATTATTGGATATCATATTGGGTACCCGATAACCGAACCGAAAATCCGGGTACCCGAAGTTCGGGTACCCGAAGTTCGGATACCCGAACTTATTGGCTCGGGTAATGGATATCATTTTTAGTGTTATTGGTTATCGGGTACCCGAACCGATAGTATTAACGGTACGGATACCCGTCCCATGCTCACCCCTAATTTTGGGTCCCCTAATTTTCACCAACTTGGTTTTGTACCCACATATTTTTGGTATTATTAATAACGGATCCCTCGTCTTATATACTTCTTTTGTTTTTGTTTTTAATGATATATACAGAGTATACTTGTATTGCAATCTACAGAATATGTTATTAAAATTCCGATATAAATTTTAGAATTTTACGATTTTACAATCTATATATGTCATATGATTCGATTTACGTTTCTACTTGATTTTACATATATCTCTTAACTAGTGAAATCCTTACAAGTTTAAAACATGCTTACAAAATTATTTATAAATATACATTGTCAATTATTGGTTGAATGGGTAATTTCTATTAATAATTAGGTTTAAAACTCATAATTTAAATATATTTACTACCTCTATTACATATTATGTGTAACTTTTGGGTATTATTTGTAAACTCAAAAGTTGCACATAATATGCGACGGAGGTAGTAATTAAGTTTGGATATGACGTCTTGATTATGCATGTCCGTAGAATCAATTTGATTTTACGATTCGATTGTGAGAGCCCTTTTTGATTCAAAGTAGAATCTCAATTTTGATATCTTTGAGTGTTGTATTAGAAAAACTTGTCATTATGTTGTATTTATAAAAAATGAAGGGGCATTGAATTGTACATTTGATGTACAAGATATAAATGATTAGTAAAGAACAACAATTATTATAGCAAAATGAGGTTGCAGGAAATTGATTTTTTAAAGAGTGTATAAGTTTGGAGAATTAGAGTATGTATTTGAAGAGTAAGTTGTAGTGAAAGTTACAAATACAATTCCTCTAACCTCTATATTATACATAGGATTTCAAACGATTTTAATTTGCAATCCTATCTAATCCATCTCATTTAATAATTTTATTTTCTTACAGATTAATATAAAATAAAAGCAAAGTCAAGTAAAATAGAAGGAAAAAATATGGAAAAAAAATATCAAATGAAATCAAACTAAATCATATATAATTCGTATTAGGTTAGATCAAAACAAACAAGATGATGGCCATACTATATACCATACATGCATTTAACTCTTCTTAAAGAGATTACAAAAAATGAGTACAACAAAAGAAAACGAAGAAAATCGTACATATTATAATTGTCTTATGACATAATCTAATCTAATCCTGATACTACGAATCAACTAAGACAAAAATCATAATAAATAACAGCAATTATATTATGATTGTGACATATCAATTACAACCACTAATACAAATTACAAATCAACTAAGTTTTGGCATTCTATTATATTCCAGCGCATGCAATATTTATGATTTTATCTAGTAAGTGGAAAACTATATAATATCTCAAATCACTTGATACTTCTACTCCTTATCAACTTGCAATTTTTATACCCAACTCTTCCAACTTTGAGGCCAGGGCTAGCTGACAAGACATTGTCATTTCTTTTCGACTACTTATTAATCGTTTATAATCAATCAACAGGGTGATTTTCAAGCATAAATGATACTTTATTCGTCTCATTTTATTGGAAATGTGCTTATTTTTCACGATTTTTACTTTTTACTCATGTTCATGTTGAATAACAAATATAATTGCTTCATATATATGTAACGGAGTATATGTTATCTCTTAATAATAGTTACAATTATAACTAAGCTAGTTTTTCGAAAATTAAAAATGAAATAAATAAACTATATGTAGTGTATCCCAATTAACCTATTACTGATTACTATACTATCAA